AATCAAAACTGTGATTGAAAACCATAAATTCTGCAGTGCAGGATGTGATGCAATGTTACAATATCATTATCATCATTGTTTCATTGTGCCCTTCTTCACATATTAATATGTAGAGTGAGTTGTAAGACGTTACACTATGAAGTGTTATACTTGACATTTAATATATTAGGAACATACCATTACAGGAAACATTTCACTTGCACCAAAATCGTTTAATACTTTGAATTTGAATTTCCTGTGGAATGTACTTAATTCACAATCTCAATTTACTTCCATCAGTGTCATCAATAGTGACAGACCTGTTGCCATCATTTAGTACCAAAATGGGAAGGTAGCAAGCAGGTCATAATTTAATGCATGAGACAATAGCAATCACTCACCAGCATAAATTAAATTTGTCTAAGTATTAGCTTTTAAATGTGAATCTTGTTGTTTATCGCTTATTTGCCATACTCGTATATTGGTGGGAAGCCTGCCTCTTAGAACTGAGTGTCATAATTGCAAGGTCCTGAGTGAAGAAAGCCCTTTGATCATTTAATCTCATCTCTTCAGAATAATAGCCACAGCTCATTATTTTATTTAAATTCTTATTGGTTACATTTTAGGTAAATAAATGTTATAACTGTGAGTATAAAGATCACATTGTTTGACGTAACATTGTAGTTTACTATCTCAGAATTCAGATGTCAAGAATCAGTCCCCACCATGCCCCAACTAACTTCTATCTGCTTAGTTTAACACATGACCTTTGATCATTGGTAACCTGTGTTAATAGAGTTTCTCTGTTCACAAATTATTTTTTCCCCATCATTTTTGCATCACATTCATTCGTGTGCTTCCTACCAGTTTTCTTTTATTATGTCCAGTATTCAATCTTTATTGTTATCTTTTGGTTTGCTTGCAGTTTTATTTAATCGCTTTTATAAACACCTTTTCTCTTTCATCTGTTGTTCGTACTTTATGCTGCAGTCTTTGTCAGACCATTCCATTCACTTTAAAATAAGCACTGCCTATGACAGATGTCCTTTGATTTGCTATACAGTTTACTAAATTGTTAGGAGAAGTACAGTTCGTGTTCCTCATTCCTGCCCAGAACATTCAAATGTTATTTGAAGTCTCCACACCTAGCGACATCTTTTCTCACTGATTCATTCCCAGAATGAATAGTTGTTGATTTTTTCTTTGAAGATTTCAAAATGCAGTTATGTTTAATCCATGGCTGTAAGACTTACTATTTTTGATATGAGAGCAAAATGCTGTGGATGCTAGAATTCTGAAATAAAAACAGAAAATGCTGAAGAAACTCAGCAGATCTGGAAGCATCTGTGAGGAGAGAAAAACAGAGTTAATGTTTTGAGTCCACAGTAGCTCTTCTTGAGAACTGTTGTTGGTAACCTCTCTTGAAAAGATCATAAGGTAAATGCAGATAAGATTTCCCACTTGGTCCAAAAAAATCTAAAATTCTTGTTAGTATAGTTTGTTGAATGATTCCAGGATGTTTTTACTTTCTGTGCTTTTAACACCAGATTCACTTTGTCTTCTAGAAGCTTAAACCTATGTCCCTTTGTCTTATTGTCTGTTAGACATAAAATTGTTACACATACTTATCCAAAAAAAATCTAAAGTTTATCTTGTTGATTTGACCTTAAATGCTTTAAATGATTTTGTGCAGTTGACATAAGGTGAAAAAGTGGGAATTGTTTCAAGTAATTTCTGCTGCGGAACAGTTCAGTGTGAATCCAAGAACTTTGCCCAGAATATTTTCTGAATAAATTAATCTCCCCCACCAGCCATTCCTTCACGGAATAAATGAAACTATTTGAAAGGAAACATTGTGGTTTAATTATTCTGTTCCCTTTAATTAACATTTTAGTTTAAATCATAAGCAGTTCTGACATGCAAGCATCTTACTGCGGTGAAGACGTCGGATTATTCAACTTTAAAGTTTAGCACTCAATTGTTAGAAACTTCTTTTGTTACTTAGTTATTTGGTGCAACATTTTATCTTTCTAAGTACTATTTTTAACAACAAATAGATGAAAGTGAAACTATTTGGAATACCGTACAACAATGTGACGCATATGAGACTGAAAATTACAGGGAGTGAAATTAGCTTGTGAATATTTAATGTCATAATCAAATGCTTCTCCTTGCTATTTTAATTGTAGTATTAAATAAATTTAAATGAAATGGTTAACAACCCCATTAAAATTACAGAGAATATTTGAACACAGACATGAACATTTTCAGAATTATATTTTTCGTACTCAATTTGAAGTTGCGGGGTTACATTTATTATGTAAACTGCATGTTTGATTTCGGATTCAGAAGAAATAGCACTGAATGACTTTACATATTTGTAATTCATTCTTGAACACATGCAGTTATTGCATGTTGAGTCTCAAGTTTGTAAACGATTTTTATCAACTAAACTTTCAAGTTGACAGAAATGATGAAAAAAATGGTAATTTGTGCAGTTTTGAAAAAATATTTTCGTCATGTTTACATCACAATCAGAAAACTGTATTTGTTTCAAAATAAGAGGATGAAAATAAATTATTTGAGCAACATAATGAGTGCCAAGGTGTAGAGGTTTTCAGCAAGGAAGGAATTCGACCATCTGTAACAGTAAGGAATATTGTGTCCTTACAACAGAGTTAGACAGCCATCTAGACAGTGAAAGAAAATGCCATGAATTTGAAAGCCACTCTAATAAAAGAGCAAAGATAAACCATTAGAAATTATGACCATGTTCCTATTATCTTAAGCCTGTGTAAATATTATCGTACATTTAGCTTGTGTGTAAAAGGAATTGCTGATCACTTTGGAGAAAAGTACCCTAGTGAACAGCAGACACCTGCTTGCTGTAGTCCTTTGATGTTTGCTCCTTTCCTTCCACAATGCATTTTTGAACCATTACAATAGGAAATATGATCAGACAGTGGTAATCAGCTTTATATATTTATATAGAATGTAAAACAAAACCACCCAAAACAAAAGACAGGAGGACACACAAAAGGAACTGACCTCCATACTCAACCAACAGCTAGGTAAACAATGTTCTAAACTTCTCCTATAATTACCGGAGTTTAAGGCTCAGACACTATTTTGCTGAGCAGTAAAATCAATGCACTCAACTTCCCCTGTTTTGCCTTCCAAATGAATGCTTCTTTGGTATTCCAATGTTTTTTGATACTCTCCAGCTGGATCATATTCATAAAAAATGGAGCAATCAATAAACACTGTATGGTTGGCTCAGGAGACAATCACCCTGTTTCAAAAATGAATGCTAGATAAGTTATGTCCCTGCAACAAATGAAAAGAAAGGGAGCAGTCTTTCTTGTGATGTGGCAGGCAATGCAGTTCTAAAAATTGAGTGATTGATAGTAACAAAATGTTTCTTCCCTTTTGGAGGCTGTACTTCATTTCCCAATGGACTGGATAAGTTCGAGCAGGTTTAGATGACAACATGTTTATCCTTGGTTCCTACAGCTCCAGTCATTGACTTGATTTGAAAGGGTTATAGAGTAGTAACATCAGTCTCAATTCTTTTTTCTTATTAATGATATT